GGCCCCGATATGTGTTTCTTTTATAGGCCCTGTCTCTAGTCCTGAAATTCAGTCAGACATTTCCTGTGCGTCTACTCTAAGCCACTGTTCCATGTACCTTGGGAGACACGAGGGTGAACAATACATGGTCCTTACACTCATGGGATTTACAGTTAGAAGTTCTAAAAGTTTTTAGATGATACTTGAAATAACCTTTTTTTTTTTAAATTTCTTTCTTTCTTTCTTTTTTTTTGTGAGAAAGATCAGCCCTGAGCTAACATCCATGCCAATCCTCCTCTTTTTGCTGAGGAAGACCAGCTCTGAGCTAACATCTATTGCCAATCCTCCTCCTTTTTTTTCCCCCAAAGCCCTAGTAGATAGTTGTATGTCATAGTTGCACATCCTTCTAGTTGCTGTATGTGGGATGTGGCCTCAGCATGGCCGGACAAGCGGTGTGTCGGTGCGCGCCCAGGATCCGAACCCGGGCCGCCAGCAGCGGAGCATGCACACTTAACCGCTAAGCCACGGGGCTGGCCCCTGAAATAATCTTGAAATAAATTTAACCTTAAATAATTTTACTTAGAAATAATGTAGTAAAGAAAGTAACAAAATGTGAGCACCTATCTGCACACATTGTGTAGTATTTATTATCTACCACATGAAAGTGTTTACAGGTTCCGTTCCTCTTACTCTGGGATCCCCTACAACACCCCCACTTATATTCAAAAGTCGTGAATGTCATGTGAAGATTTAAGGATTCCTCACTGTACAATGTTTTATTTAAATGTGAATTTATATGAATTAATGCAAGTGAAATTCTCAGGAAGTTGAGTAGATTGACTTTCTAATTGAAAGGTGAGAAATATTTGCAAAATGGTTTGGCCACCCTATGGCCAATCCTAGAACATGGCATGCCCTATGTTCTAGATTTAACTTTAGGAAATAGTTTGCTCTAGTTATTTGATGGTTTTGTCACAGAGATTAACTTTGTATTTAAAACAAAATATGATTGAGCCTCTTTAAGCAGTGGACAGACGATTGAAGATGTATTCAATAAACCACACCACTTTGTATTCTTCAGGAGAAGTACAGTAGGCTATTTTTCATTTCTTAAGGCATTTGATAGATAATTTCGGTGGAGAATAAATGAAATAGGGAAAGAAAGTGCAAAGAGCCAGTTAGACAGATTTCATGTTTACTAGTAGTTTGTACTTTTTACCAGCCCAAATTAAAGAGAGTGGTGGGGTTGTGGGAGGGAGGGTGAAGAGATGCGGAAGTGGGGATGAGGAGAGACTGTTTTCATGGGCAGCCTCCATCCTGTGATTCCGGGCCTTGGATTATGTGAGGTGGAGAAAAACGAGGAAAATGATATAGTCGCTTAAAATTTGGTGTTTTTCTTGGAATAGAAGCATATTGTGCATTATTTCCATCTGAGTGCAAACAAATATCAAAAGAGAAAGAATTTCCTTAATTCTATGATGTCAACAATGGTGAGATTTATCATTGATTTAATAAGGGTATTACCTTAAATATATCCACCATTTGTTACATGCCTTACATGTCATGGTGGCATGGTGTGGTGGGAGACTGAGGATTGGTCCTGGCAGGAGTGTGTGTCACTTGGAGCTGTAGACGAGGCAGAAATTAAGGTGAGGAGAATTATAATGTACTATAATATACAGCCAGCCCTTAGGTCCTCCTCACAGCCTTGGCAACTGGGAGAGCAGATGGGGCATGGCAACTGGGAGAGCAGGGATGGGGCAGGTTTGTCTTTTGGTGTGGGGTGAGTTTCTGAGATTAAAAAGGCATTTGTGGTGATTATGGAACACCATCGTGGCTTGCTGGGTGCCTCAAGGTTTTCCTCTGGCTTTCAGAGGCCATTTGATTGCCAGCATTTCTCATTTGCTTGACCTACATGTCCAACAGCAGTATTCCAGAATAGAAGGATATAATGGTTAGTGGTTCCTTATCTGGGACATCCTGTGTCTGGTTGATCCCTATTGTGTGTGGGCCAGGACTAGGGCAGAGAATAAGGGAGTTTTTAGTTGCAGAGAAGTTACAGCCATGGCCAGGAACTAGACAGACCACTTTGCTTTCTTTAGGAGGTTGGAGGTCAAGTATTGGGAATTTTAGGAGTAAACTGCTGGTAGCCCAGGGCTCAATTTAGAGATAGCCCCAATGAGGAATCTATCCCTTAACCCTACCCTCTCTTCTCCCCCAGCTCCCAACCCTCTACACTCCCCCTTCCCCCCACATACGCAGACTTCTCTACTTTGGGATAGGAGAGTTTATCTACCTCAAATGTCCAAGGCCTATTCCTACCATAGTACTTTTCACACTGTGTGGTTATGGCTTGCTTTATGTCAGTCTAGATAGATTGTGTGTTCTTTGAGGGCTGAGATTGTCCTATTCAACATTTTATCCTTGACATTTGGCATTGTGGCTTGGCATAGGTGCTCTCCAAATGTTGCTTGGATAAATGAATGATCACAACAACCCCAGGAACTGGGATATGTGCTTGATTATTCTAGCATCCTCTCATTTCACTAGCAATGAAACCTCGTCTGGCATCATACAGGATTCTTGTCAGGACAGAATGTGGTCAGGAATTTCATTTCCTTATTTTTGAACATATATTTTGGGGTTGGCTCAAAGGCGATGGCACCCTGTTAGTTCTGGCTTACCTGAAACTAGATCTGTGTGAGCTTGGGCTCATACAGTAGAGGGGGAGATCGCATACACACGTGCCCATACATGCCCACACATATGCATGATAGATGTCCGAAGATCCACTTCATTGGATGCTATAGAATGTCAGGGTCATTGCACAGGCTCAGCAATACCAAAGGCTAGGAGACTGTCTGGTAGGTGAGCTACTATTCGTCACACTTTCTGATGCAGTTTTTATGAGCACCAGAGATCTGGTGTTATGAAGTCTTGAGCTCCACAGAGTTGATCTAGGAGGTCTAGAGTAGGAGAAGGTAGTGATCTTAGTTGTTCTGGGTTTGAGGCCATGCTTTATGGATGTAGGCAAACCTGCCTTTCTCAGGGTATAGGGCCACTCCTGCCCTTGTGGAAGGAGAAGTGAACTGTCTGATGTCTCCTTTCTTAAATTAATGAGCATGAGGGTACTTGTGGAGGACTAAACTTGACCTTCAAAAAGCAAATATTTCCTTTAGCAAGTGTGGGCTCCAGATATCCTGATTTTATCATTTGATCTTGTAAATAAATTTTCTACTTCTTGTCTGAAACCTCCTGATAGATGGAGCATTTATTGAAGATTCCAGGAGTGGGAGGGACTGGTGGAACAGATTCTGCCAGGAATAGCGGCAGGAGAGGAAAGGGTATAGCTCTTCCACAAGTGTTGTGGTTGTGGGTCTCCAGCTGGGAGAACTGGGAGTCAAGGGCAAGAAGGGGCCTTGAGTGACAACACTGGCTATAGTGGGCTCTCAGGCCACAGTCCCTGTTGTAGTGTCCTCTGGCCCAGGGTCAGGTGATTAGCTGTGCATACTGTGCTAGGATTGTGAAGGACTTGACCTTCATTGCTCCCTCATGGCCCCTTGTTCAGTTTCTAGTCTAGTCCAAGAATGTGTAGTTAGTTGTCTGTGACCCAACAGATCGGTGTGCACACAACACTCCTCTCCTGGTTGGTAAGGGCAAAACCTGGGCCTTTCTCTTCTCTAGAGGTACAGGGGTCTCCAAAATTCAGAGTTGTTAGATGCTAAGGTCAGTACCTGAGTTGAAGATGACTTAACAGATGCTCAAAGGGCTAGAAACAGATTAGTTATTGGACTTGAGATCTAAGGATTTAGGAGGGCATAAGGCAGTGGTTCAAGACAGAAGACATGGAGTGGACTCTGGACAAATATGGACAGTTGCTGAAAGTAACTTAGATATTTTTTTACTTGTTTCTCCCTCATCTGCTTTTTCCATTTATTTTATTTTCTCTATTTCTTTTATACGTGAGGTCTTGAGTCTTGCATCAAAAGAGATCAAATTAAGTAATTTTGGGTTATATTTTAGACAAGTTTTATTCTATGACTTAACATTTAATATTAATATTATTGTTGGGGAATGAGTTGCAGAGTTGTTGTTACTAGTTCTCATGACAAAGTTTGCCTCTTAGCTCTCCTGTTGTTTATAGATGTTGGGCTTAAAGGGGTTGGGTCACATGGGGAAAACGTGGCTGTTTAGTAACATTATTAGTGGGGTTGATACCTAGTAGTCAGTCCCTGGATTTAATTTGAGCCATTTGTCTTTGAGCCCCCATTTTCTTTCTGAGGAATGAAAATGATGAACTTAAGCTTTTCTTTCTCAGTCCAGAAAAAGCTACAAGATTGTGGTTCTTGGTAAAGAGGGAATCCTGGAGAATAGGACAGTGTCTTTTTTTGTTTGTTTCTCTAATCTATTTTTTTCTGTTTGTGAGGAAGATTAGCCCTGAAATAACATCTGTCTCCAATCCTCCTCTTTTTGCTGAGGAAGACTGGCCCTGGCCTAACATCCATGCCCATCTTCCTCCACTTTATATGGGACGCCGCCACAGCATGGCTTGACAGGCAGTGCCTCGGTGCGCGCCTGGGATCCGAACCCTGGGCTGCCGCAGCGGAGTGCGCGCACTTCACTGCTACACCACCGGGCCAGCCCCTAATCTATTTCTGATGGAACATTCAAGACCTCACATATAAAAGAAATAGGGAAAATAAAATAAATTGAAAAAGTAGATGAGGGAGAAACAAGTAAAAAAATACCTAAGTTACTTTCAGCAACCTATCGCAATGAAAACTGAGAAATCGAGGTAGTTACTAAAGCCAGCTCCCCATGTTTCAAAATCAGTAGAAAGTAGAGCACAGATGAAGTGTCAGTGTGTCAATATGTATCATTTAAAAAGTAACATTTAAAGTTGCTGTGATTGCAAGATAGCTCCTGCATTAGAGGGTTTTTTTCTTTTTTGTCACCAAGTTCAATTCATGGTCCAAAAGTTTGGAAAACTTACCATGTGTCCTATTTTATTTACTTCTCAGTGCAACAGAATGGAATTCGGCATTCTTCCTATACAACTTCCCGGAAACATCTCTATATTGATAAGAATACGAAGGTTATTTGCCAGGGTTTCACTGGTAAGCAGGTATGTGTATCAAGATTTTTTTTAAGATGTATACTAGAGCTACAAAAAAATTTAACTGTTTTCTGTTTTTTTGATATCACAAAAGGTACAATGCATGATTGTTGTGGAAAAGTATACAGTAGAGCAATGGAATTGTATCTTAGGAGGAAGTTAGGTGCTATAGTCAGCCTGTAAGATGAAAATTGTGTTTAAATTTACCTTGAAAATCTCTCCCTACGAGTATATTATGTTGAAAACCCACATATTCTCTTTCAGCAAGTATAACACCACTGGTTTTCTTTTTTTTTTTTTTAAAGATTTTATTTATTTAATTTTTTCCCCCCAAAGCCCCAGTAGATAGTTGTATGTCATAGCTGCACATCCTTCTAGTTGCTGTATGTGGGACTCGGCCTCAGGATGGACGGAGAAGTGGTGCCTTGATGCGCACCCGGGACCCGAACCCGGGCCACCAGCATTGCAGCGCGCGCACTTAACCACCAAGCCACAGGGCCGGCCCATACACCACTGGTTTTCCTTCAGCATTGGAACAGATCACTGTTTCTTTAATTAAGCACTGGATGAAGTAGAAGGCTTATGTTTAGGCGATATAGGAAAAAATACAGTTAAACACAGATGAGTGTGGGGAATTGTTCAAGCCAGAGAGGCTCTTGGGAACTGAGATAGGCAGAGGAAGCAGCACTCTGACTTTTCCCATCTCATACTCTCTGGGGGAATGGTCTTCGAGGGGACTGGCTGGCAAAATTGCCTGAAGTATTTTAATTTGTTCTCATCCATCTACATTCATTCTCTCTCCCTATCCCGTGCCTACATCATAGGATTTGCAGAAGTTTAAATGTATCTGTGATGTGATTCGACAATAAAAGGCAACATAAGAATTTCCTTTCTTTCCTTCCTACCGTTCTACTCCCCTGGAATTCCTTCTGTTAACAAGTTGATATGTATCCTTCCAGATATTTTGCTTGCTCATACAAACATATGTATACTTATATAATGTGCACTCTACAGAGTTTATTCTACAGAGAGAGATATATATATATAAAATATTATACAGTATATCTATCATCCATTTATATGTCTATAAAATAGATTCATAAAAGTAAAATTGGGTGTCAAATGTTCTGTGTACTTAAATATTTTAGGGCCGGCCCTGTGGCTTGGTGGTTAAGTGCGCGTGCTGCAATGCTGGTGGCCCGGGTTCGGATCCCGGGTGCGCATCAAGGCACCACTTCTCCGTCCATCCTGAGGCCGAGTCCCACATACAGCAACTAGAAGGATGTTCAGCTATGACATACAACTATCTACTGGGGCTTTGGGGGGAAAAAATAAAATAAATAAAATCTTAAAAAAAAAAAAAATATTTTAACAGCTACTGCTAAGTTGCCCTTTAAAACATTTGTACACATTTATAGTTCCACTGTAGTAGATGCACAGATTTTTTTTTTTAAATGAAGGAATACTACCAAATCAATTAGAAGATAACCACGAGTCTTAGCCTAAAGTATCCCTTTCTTTATTAAAGGAGATATGGCAAGACAAAAGCGGTTAATGATTTTTTTTTTGGTAATTTAAAAGTTACTGATTTTTTTTTTTTTTTGGCCAGCCCTGGTGGCCTAGTTGTTAAGTTCAGCGTGCTCCACTTCAGCGGTCCGGGCTTGGTTTCTGAGCACGGACCTACACAGCTGTGTTAGCGGGCATGCTGTGCTGGCGGCCCACATACTAAAAAAACAGAGGAAGATTGGTATGGATGTTAGCTTAGGGGGAATCTTCCTCAGCAAAAAAAAAAAGTCAATGATTTTTCTGTAATTAAAAGAATGGTCATGTCCATTCTGTGGTATTTTGGTAATTTAGAGCAGGAAGTGGCACGCTTATTCTGTAAAGGACCAGATTGCAAACATTTTAGGCTTAGTGGGCCATGCAGTCTCCAGTTACAATTACTCAATAGCATTGTAATAGCAAAATCAGCCATAGATAGTATGTCAGTGAAGGGGCTGGGTTATATGCCAATAAAACTTAGTTTACAAAACCAGTGGCAAGCCAAATCCCTCAGGCCATAGTTTACCAACCCCTGATCTAGAGAATGATACCTAAATATCCAAATTTCTATAACTTTTGTTTTTAAAATACTTAGAAATTGCTTTAAAATTATATAGTTCTTTTTTCAAAAAAAATGGGTTTGGTTAGAAGGTTATTTCATGTAAAATGTCCTTTCGTCTTTTGACTTTTTTCTGAAATAACTGGGCACATGAATGTGAATTGCAGTGGACTTTTCTTCTTTTCCTTCCATTTCTCTACTATCTTAAAAAAACAATCCACCACCAACAAAAAAAGAAACACCCCAAATCTTGAAATTTTGTTCATAGGTAAAATTGGTTTACTTATTCTTTCTTTTTTTTTTTTTTGTGAGGAAGATCAGCTCTGAGCTAACATCCATGCCAATCCTCCTGTTTTTGCTGAGGAAGATCGGCCCTGAGCTAACATCTATTGCCAATCCTCCTCCTTTTTTTCCCTTTTTCTCCCCAAAGCCCCAGTAGATAGTTGTATGTCATAGTTGCACATCCTTCTAGTTGCTGTATGTGGGACGCGGCCTCAGCATGGCCGGACAAGCGGTGCGTCAGTCCGCGCCGGGGACCGAACCTGGGCACCAGTAGCGGAGCGCGCGCACCCAACTGCTAAACCACGGGGCCGGCGCCTGGTTTACTTATTCTGATAGCCATACATTTTATGAGTATCACTTCCACATGTATACATTCTAAATAAAGTTGACGCTCATCTAAGATTTGAAGTACATTTTATCACCCCTCTGCCAATTAAAATATGTATTCATTTTGTTAGCATATAATTAAGTGTTTGATTAACTCAGATTCCCCACATAGGTTTATTATGTATGATTTTGTTTTTCTCCTTGCTAAACTTTATATGATCCTCTGACATTTTAACCCCTGACCTTTCCTTTTTAAGAACCATTGTCCATGGTGTAAGCACTGTTTGAAATTGTCTCTGCTTCCTAAATTAGGTGATGGTTTGCCTAAATACTGAAATCCAAGGTTGGTTTCAGTGTCTTTCAGTTATCTACAATTACATTGTTTCTCATTCACTTTTCTTTTTTTTTTTTTTTTAGGTAATTGGGAGGCTTAATTGCCTCAGATTTGTTGGTTAAGATTCTATTATTATAGAGGTAACAATGAGGCCTGAAATTTAGAGTTTATCGTGGTAGAAAATCTGCATTTTGTCTCATTAGTTTCTTTTTTTTGAGTGCGCACATTGTTCCACATACAATGAGGAGTATTTGTATTTCAGAGTGGATTCCAACAATGCAGATTTCCAATGGGTGGAATTTCTTGTACTGGCTTTTAAGAGCTGCTAAGACCATCAGTATTCTTAACTGTGGTCTGGATGGTGGTAATGGGAAAACTAAAGAAGATAAGCTTATTAATAGGAAATGTTATCCCTGTTTAGCACTACATTAGGACTAAAAAATTGGTCCATTTGAATTTATCTAACCGTGTAGTAGTCTAGGGCAGTGCTTCTCAAACTATCTGGATTGAAAGACCGGTTGGTGTGTGTGTTTGTTTTTAATTTACAATCTAATGCAGATCAATACTTTTTGCAAAATACAAGAAAAGTTGAAACAATATAATATTGCTATAAAAGTTGGCAAACATTCTTACTTTTATTTTTTTATTAGATTTTTCTTGTTTTCTTTTTTTCCTATTTCTTTTTGCATTTATCTCACTACAGACCAGCAGAAGTCTGTAGACTACATTTTGAATAGCACTAAAGAGATATAAATAGCTTTACAGAGAGAGAGCACTGGCCTGTGGTTCTTTCCAAAACTCCATCACGACTTGAGACAAGTCAGTTAACGTGCTTGGGGCTAGTTTCCTATTTTGAAAAGTGAAGAAGTTGAATCAGGAAATTTCTGAAGTCCCCCTTAAGGCCCTAATTTTTATGCCTTTAATAGAACTTGAGTTGTTGGGTCAGCATTTTTAGGTCCCTGTAGAATGACCACATACAGCCATTCAATTTTGAGTGTCTACCATATATAATGTGTTGATTTAGGTGCCATCTCTCAGTGAATAAAGCAGACAAAAATCATTGCCTTCATGGAATTTACATTTTAGTGGTGGGAGAGAGCAACATATCAACAAAATCAAAGAGGAAATTATGTGGTATATTAGAAAGTATAAATGATATGGAAAAAATAAACCAGAGAAAGGAGAAGTGTGTGTATGTGTGTGGAGTTGTGGAGTTTGGGATGGGGAAGGGGGGATTTTGTATCAGGTGGTCAGGGGAAGCCTGATGTCTGAGTCCAGATCTAAAGGAGATGTGGGAGTGAACCAAGTGGCTATCGAGGGGAAATGTATTCCAGGCCAAGGGGACAGTGAGGCTGTGAGGCAGGCGTCGTGTGTGGAAGCTGCAAGGCCAGTGTGACTGGAGAAGAGCACGTGAGGTCAGACAGGTGAGGGGTTCTGATGTGAGGAGGCAGACTGAATGTTGACTTGGAGGCCAGTGTGAGGAGTTTGGCTTTTACTGTGAATGAGATGGAAAGCCATTGGAGAGTTTGATTCGAGGAGTGACGCGATCTTCCCTGTGTTCTAACAGGATCACTCTGGCTGCCGTGTTGAGAATAGATTGAAAGGGAGCAAGGGCAATGTTCTGTCAAGAGTTGATGGTGACTTAGATGAAGGTGGTAGCAATAGAAGGAGTGAGACGTTGTCAGTTGTATTTTGAAGGTATGGCAATAAGATTTACTGATGTATCTGATGTGAGATATAAGAGAAAGAGAAGAATCAAGGATGACCAGTATTTTTGGTCTGAATGTCTGTGAGGAGTGGAATTGTCAGTAACTGGGATGGGGTAGACTGTGGTGAGGAGTCATCAGGAACTCGGTTTTGGGCATGAATTTGGGATACAGTTCAAGGCAAAGATCTGGGCTAGGTATGGAGGGGGGGGTTGTGTGCCTGTGTGTGTGTGGGAGGGGTTACCTTATGGAAGACACTGCCATTGATAAGGGATCAGATTACCAAAGGCAGGAATTTAAATGAAAAAGAGAAGTCTAGGGAGAGAGAGAAAGAGAAGAGGGAAACCAAGGAAGGTGGAGCCCCAGGAGCCTAGTGAAAAAGAATCTCTCAGTCCCTGGAGACATTTTTGGTGGTCACAACACCACACTGGGTTGGGGAGGAGGGCGTGGTACTGGGATCTACTGAGTGCAGGTAAACATTGCTGCCACACATTGTACAAAGCCCAGGACAACCTCCCATAACAACGAATCAACGTGCCCAGAGCGTGCCGAGGTTCAGGAGGGAGAGTGAGTGGATAGGGAAATGCAGGATGCTGACTGGGCAGCACTAAAGGCTCACTTAAGGGCAGTGATCATTAATTTAAAGTGGGACAAGTTAGCATCGTTTTCTTTTTTCTTCAGCTACTGTTGGCTGCGTATGTGCAGTCTTAGAGGTGGTGGAGAATTGGATTTAACCAAGGTTGTGATTTTGCCAGATGTGTAAGTTGAAGTGAGAGAGAGCCAAAGTTGTCGTGTAAGTACAATGATGGACTGAGGATTTTTTTTTTTTTTTTTTTTAAATTTTTTGTTTATTGCAGTAACATTGGTTTATAACATTGTAAAAATTTCAGGTGTACATCATTGTACTTCTATTTCTGCATAGATTACATC